GCCAAGAACACTCTGTTGGATATCACATCTCAGTAAGAACGTAGGTAGTGTATGTGCTGTTGTGTCTACTTGCCGCCACCTGTTGGTTATACATGCAACGCTCTGAAATGCTATAAAGATCGATCAGTTCATCTGCTATCTAGGCTCTCGATTTTTGAGTGAAATACTCCTTGTAAACAAAACACTTTTAAAAAGCAGGCAGTTGTCGATATACTGCTAAGTGGATTGTTTGTTTGTTTTTGAATTTTGCGCAAAGCTACACGAGGGCTATCTGCGCTAGCCGTCCCTAATTTAGCAGTGTAAGACTGGAGGGAAGACAGCTAGTCAGCACCACCCACCGCCAACTCATGGGCTACTCTTTTACCAACGAATGGTGGGATTGACCGTCACATTATAACACTCCCTTGGCTAAAAGGGCGAGCATGTTTGGTGTGACGGAGATTCGAACCCGCGACCCTCAGATTGTGAGTCGAGCGCCCTAACCACCTAGTAAACGAAAAGAATGTAAAGATATTTCGGTGCATGTTTAAAACAAAATATATAGGTAAGCGCGCCCCAGTTGCACAGCGGAAAGTCTAATAACACTAAAAACCGGGTTTCGATGGCCCTGATGGGCACATCACAGATAGCCTATTCATTACAGTGGCGTAAGTACGTCTCCGCAATGTCTACAAAAAAGGGATTTGAATTAACCAAAATCGTGACTAAAACTTTTTTGCGAAGGAGAAAAGGCATGTTTTCTAGTTACGCCACTGGTTCATTATGTAGCTTTGTGCATAACTACAAACAAACTACGCAAAGCGTTGTATCGGACACATACAAAGAAACAGTAAATAGGATTAATGTATCCTTCACGTCAGAATCATTCTTGTCTCAAAGAAGTCTGATGTCTGTTTAACTCAATGTGCTCTTTCTTTTTCAAAGGTAGTCATATAGATTTGTTATGGAAAACAGAGACTCGCTCTGTTCTTTTTTTTATTTCTTATATAATGCTACAAATCTGGTTTTGATTTTCGTGCTGGGCAGAGCACAGATAGCCTATTGTATAGCTTTGCGCTTAACAACAACAAAAAACAACAGATCATAAATAAAGAGAAATGTGAAAAATTATATGTATATGGTGTAAGTTTGTGATATTTGAAATATAAGTTAAGCCATCTGAGGTTTATGAAACTGTAAGGAAATCTTTTTTATTTGCTAATAACATTCATGTTTGTGAATAAGAAATAAACAGTAACGTTTACAAGAAAACATAGCACATGAAAATATTAATTCTTTCAACATATTATGAGCATATACAATGAAATGTATAAGAAGAACTAAGAGCAATTTAATCTTTCCTCGACGAACCTTCCTTTTTATCAGATGCCTTGAGACAGATTCAATGTTTGAAACGTGCTTTTGTTTTTGTTTTTGTACTTAGTTATAGGGCATGATTGTATTCTCGTGTCATCGATAAATCTAGGACTTTTGGAATGAAACATAGTTTTCTTTGCTAGTGCTGCTTATTTTTTTCATATTTGTGCATTTCCACAACTGTGACTAAATTGTTAATCCAAATAAAACGAAGACAGTAAAGTTTGTTTGTTTGTTTGAAGTTAAGCACAAAACTACACAATGGACTATCTGTGCTCTGCCCACCATGAGTATCGAGACCCTATAAAAAGCGTTGTAAGTCCACAGACATACCACTGTACCATCGGGTTGCTATTAGTAAAGACAGAAAATTAAAATTAACTTATTCCATCATTCGTAATTATTCCGACGGCATTATTAAAACAAAACAGCAAACAAAAAGAACAATTCGCTTACCGCAATTTACTGTACTGCACACACAAAAAAAGTTTTAGTAAAAATATATTTTGGGGAGTTATAAATGGGTATGTTACCTAAATTGTTCAATTGAGGAACCAACAAAAATAATTCCATGGTTTATTTAGACTGTTATCTGGAAGTAAGAGCAGTTAACTACAGAACTGAAGGATTTATATGTGTATTAAGCAACAAAGGTGGATTTGTTACCTCTACGTCTCGATGTGCAATAAATGGTTAAACTCATGAATTTTTGTAAAGTTGGGCCCTTCGTAATTTTTATTCATGAAACGACAAAAGGACTTTAGATAAAGAACTTTAAATTACGTTAACTAACTGCATTAAAAATAGTAATTATTGTACAAAAATGGAGTAAAAAAAGCGCCTGACGTGAACTGACAAAAATATCCTGATTTTTAGAGAAATAGAATCAAATCATGGTTAATTTTAGGTCTGATAAAAATCTTAAAATATTCTCGACATGCTAAATTAAAATTTAAAAAAATATATATCGTATTAAACATGTTTAAATGAAAGTTCACAAAAGGTGTTCAGCATGTTACATCAAAATATAGCTAGAGGAATCCTTAATAGCCACGACACTTGAAATTATTTTAATCAGAATTAGAATAAATTAATGTCTGAGACCTTTTTTCCCCCTTTATATTAGCTATATTTTTGTATGCCAGTAATACCAAGAATGGAGCGCGCGTATACCCTATTCGCTTTTTATGATATAAAAAAAATATTCTTAAATAGTTATACCGCAGCTGCTTATATTAGTTAATATTCTCTGCATAGTCTACATTATTCTGATGAAGCATTAAATTTGTGGCTCGAAATAGTTGCTTGCAATGGCTTCCGTTGACACTTTATAATTGGAAGTCCGAAGCCATATTGCTACTGTCAGGTTTTGTAGATCGGCTTCTTTACAGTAGATGTCTGTGACATGTTGGCAATAAATTTCAACAATAAACAAACAGCAACACATTG